ATTTTATTTGTGGTGAAATGTGATTTTATTTGTATGTTAATAAATAAAGTTGCCTGGGGATCAGAGCTAAAAGCAAGCCATTTAGCAGAAGTCCGGTGGTGGTGGCACATGCCCTTAATCTGATTACATGGCAGGCAGAGTCTCGGTGTGGTCAAGGACACAGCCAAGCAGTGACCCTAACCTTTCATCCCAATACAAACTATAGAGACCTGGAGGTCTGTATAGACAGGCAGTGATGAGGAAGTCATGTGGTTGGGTTTAGAGCCAATGAGAAGGCAGAACAGAAAGGCAATAAAAAGACAAGTCACACAGAAGAAGCTCTCTCTCTCTCTCTCTCTCTCTCTCTCTCTCTCTCTCTCTCTCTCTCTCTCTCTCAGGGGAAGGATGGCAGTGAGTGGCAAGCTAAGGCTAGTGCTCTGATCTCTTGGGCTTTTGACTCTGCATTTGGCTCTGTGTTTCTTATTTAATGAGACCGTTTATAATTTCGTCTACACAGGCAAACTATATACTATATGAATTATTTTCAATAAAGATTTTATAAAACGTTAAAAAGAGGAAAAAGATTCTTCAAACTATTATGAATTCAGCATCATGAAGGAAAGTAAACCCACCTGTCATTTGCAACTATCCTTAAGGAACAATAAGAAACCCATATCCAAACTACAGCTTTAGCTCATCTCACAGCTGAATGCTGTTCTGGGTTTAAGTTTAGTGAATTAGGTAAGTCAGGATTTCAGATTAAGGAAGTATTGAAATTTGTAAGTTAAGGACCATTATACCTGCTCAGAAGCTTCACTGACTGTCTATTAACCCCCAAAAATGAATTTAACTTTTCTTTATCCTAAATTCTCCACAATACACCCATTACTAATCTTTCCAATGTTATCCATCCCTTCCCTGCTTGACATTATTGCATTAATCACCATGGCTCAAATATATCACATCTTTTCCCACATTAGCCTTGTTATGGACTCCCTTAGTTGACCTTTTCACTTGCCTGGAGCTCCCGCTTCACTTGCCTGGAGCTCCCGCTTCTTAAGGCCACTCAATTCCCAGGTCTTTCTGAGCATTTTCCTTCAACGAATTCTCCACGATCTATATCCTTGTTTTGTATATAGAGTGACATGAGACTTCTTTTCCTTTCATTGCAATTTTTAAAAATGGCATTATCTCTAACCACACTTTAATGTCTTTACCTGCAAAGGTTCAACTACAGAACTTTGTGCCTCAGAGTCTGGCTTCAGAGCTCACGGAGAACACATTTGTTTGCCTGCTTGTTTGTTTGTTTGTTTTGTTTTTTGAGATAAAGTCTTCCTATGTAGTCGAGACCGGCTTCAAACTTACCATGCAGTTCTTACTGGTCTTGGATCTTCCATGTCCAGTCCTCTTGCCTTAGCTTCTCTAGTGCTGGGATTATAGTCTTGTGTCAACACACCAGTGTCAAACAAATACGCTTTTTTTTTTTCTTGGTAATGAAGCACTTCAAAGTAAAACTGACATTTATGTTCGTCTTTCATCTATCTCTTTCTAGCAAATTCTTCTACCATTTAAGAACCGTTTAAACCAGTACTATATAGGTGCTGTACTCTGACTGCTGGAGGTCAGAAAGTAAACTCTCTCTCCCCGTATGTCAGATATGTTTATTTGATCAATGCCTGTTCTCCAAGCGAAAGAATTCTGGTTAAGAAAAGCAAAAAAAAAAAAAAAAATCAGAAAATTTGGTTTCTGTTTCCATATTGGTCCACACATGCATTAGTTACATTTTGTGTTGGCAGGGCACAATAGCTAACTAAACAACTTGGGGGATGGCAGATTTATTTTAGATCACTGCTTAAATTTTTAAAATAGGTTTATTTATTTTATTTGATGTATATGAGTGTTTTTATGCGTGTATATATGTGCAGGACATGAATGCCTGCTGCCCAAGGAAAATGAGATTAGATCTGGAATTAGGGTTATAAATTGTGAGTTTCCATGTGGGTGCTGAGAATGAAATCCAGGTCTTCCGGAAGAACAACAATGGCTCTTAAACACTGAGACATGTCTTTAGCCTCACATTCTTGGTGATTTAAAGGGTTCAAATCCTCCATGGTTGCTTGACCTCATGTCATACATCATGGGTGGCAACAATGTGTGGAGGAGACATTTTCCTTGATGAGGACAGGAAGCAGAGAGGAGCCAGGAGGAGACCAGGGTAAGACATGCCTTGAAAGACATACTGTCTATTAACTACTGCCTCCAATCAGACCCTAATTTCTATACTTCGATCACTTCCCAATAGTCTATTAAATTTTGAATCCATTAATGAATTACTCTATTGATTAGATTACTGTCCTATGATTTGGAAATACCCTCACAGATACTTTTAGAGTTAAACTTTCCTGATGTCAGTTCTTAATCCAATCAAAATTAATCATCATAATCAATTTCTCTACCTGTAAAAAATTAATGACATCTATTCTGACTTATGCTACAAGGACTTTGTGAAGAAAACGCATATAAAATGATATATACAAATGGCTGTTCTTACTATAGGTCTGGTGTCCCATGGAATAACTAAGGTTACAGGTTTGCTGACCTTGTAGATCAAGTATATTAAAGGATAATTTTACATGTTATCTAATTTCAATAAAATTTATTTTAGAAATAGCTTATGAAAACATTAAATTTTACTTTAAGTAAATAATATTAAATATGTAAATATATATAGCTAACATGAAGGATATTTGGGGAAAGAAATACAAATGTTTTTAAATTCCCTGTTTGTGGAATGTCTATTATGTGCCAAAGAGCATCCTAGGGCTATGAAAAGCAAAAGGATGAGCAGGATATCCACTTGTCATCAAGGAAGGAGAATCTATTTTCATGAAATCCCACCATACACAAACTAATATAAAGGTGTTTTGGTGAATTCTCTGAAGGACCAGCTACATAGCACAAGAGACTCATTCTAACAGTATCTGGAAAGATTTCAAGAGGAGATTGTGTAACTATTCTTTGAGATAAGAATTTCAGTAAACTAGGATGAAGAGGAAGGTTTTAAAAAGAAAAACAAAGAACAAAAAACAAACCATTAGACTATCCAGGCATTTGTGGTGCATGACCATAGCACTCAGGAGGTCTTAAAGAAGGATCATCGACAGATGAGAGCCAACTTCAGCTACATAGCAAGACTCCATCTCAGAAAAACAAATAGTTAATATTGATTATCACCTTGACAAGATCTAGAATCACCCATGAGAAAAGCCTCTCTAAGTACCTGTGAAGGACTTTTCTTCTTTTGATTAGGCTATTTGAGATGGGAAGATTCGCCATCAATGTCTTCAAGATTTTCCAGTGGCCCATACAGAAGAAAGTCCAAGAAACAAGTGATTGCTTTCTAACAGTGCCTCTTCATGTCTTGTTCTTCTACTCTGTGATTGTCATGGTCCCTGATGCTGCTATCCTTCATTGAATTCAGAACCCAGTGTCTTTGAGCTTCCAGTTACCAAAGACCAGTGGCTCTCTGGGACTTCTCCAGGTCTTCAGCCTCAGACTGGGACTGCTAAGGTATCCAGCTTCATCATGACCCGAAAAGCTAAAGGGCTTCTCAGTCTCTTCAGTGTGCAGACAGCCATTGGTGGACCACCCAGTCTGCATTGTGTACACCAATCTAATAAATTCCCTTTTCATATAGTCATACTATTGGTTCTATTGCTCAGAGTAGAAAAAATAAATAAATAGATGGATAGAAAGTTAGAATTACTACAGAGAAAAGTAGACATAGAAAGAACAAAGTGTATTCTGGGAAGAAAGAGCAGAACTGAATTCCTTGACTTTACAGAGTTTTCCCAGAATTTGAAATAATAAGCAATGTTTATAGCAAAGTGTCTCCATGCAAATGAACCCTGTTGGAAGTGGATCTCCTAGCAAGAGTCAAATCTACCTTGTAACCTTTAGAGAACTGTGGAGCCAGAACCATCCAGCTCGACTTTGCCAACTTATGACTCACAGACACTTTTAAATTAGAAATGATGTCATCCATTAGATAAAGATAAACAATACAAAGGTAAAAAGTGAAAAGGCTGTTTCAGACTTTTCTCCATCCATGGCCAGAGATCAGAACTGAATTTGAGTTAACCAGAGTCCAGACAGTCTTGAGTCTGATGTTCACAACTATTAACCACTTAGCACTTTCCACTAGCAAGCCACTAGGCAAAATCTCCACATTGGTTTTTCCACTTTAACTGCAGGACAGTGCTGGGCTTTTATGAAACCACACACTGACGTTGTTTTAATGTGCTGTATTTCAGCTCAAAAAGGAGTAAGTTCTTTGTAACTTACAAACTTTGTTGTGCGCCTAAAATCACATATGAAGATGTGCGTTTCACCTTTGCTCAGCATTGTGGGTAGTTTGAAAAATCATGTATTCTCCCCGCCTCAAATTTATAGAAGAGTTCCTCTTCATAAAACGGGGAAAAGGTCAAATTAACATTCACTCAGTACACGCCCAAAACAAAATGGACGTATGATTTTGGGGTGCAGCACACTTAGCTATCTGAAAGTGAAGAAGTCTTTAATACAGACAATATTGTTTGGCTCCTAAAACTGCCTCTCAGCTTTTGTTCTGACTCTCAGGTTAGAAGAAAGCTTACCAAGCATCGGTCTGCCAGACTCTGCCTTCAATAACTTCGGATTTTAGGTCTGATTAAGAGGTTGGTTTAGGAAGAGTGCATGGGCTGAGTAGCTGGAACAGAGTTTCTAAGTGTTCAAGTCCCAACTCCCCGCGTTCTTACATTAAGCCTGGTTCTTTGCACTGCTTTCACTTTGCACTGGATCCAGACCGAGGTGTGTGTGACCCGCAGCGCCAGGGGTGGTGCGAGCAGCAGGGTTCCAGGCAGAGTCGGCACTCCTGGGCGGGGCATGGACGCAGATAGGCGGGGCTTGAGTTCTGGTGGGCGGGGCCTAGGGGGCCCTAGGCGGGTCCCGGCACGCGGGAGATTTGAACTTTCATCCCGCCCGGGTCTGGGCTAGCCGGAAGTGAAGTTGCTTGGTTGTTTTTCAGTCAGGCCTTGCAACTAGCAGGAGCTCAGGGCCCGTTCCAGAGATGGTGGAAGGGCCAGGCTGTACTCTGAATGCAGAGAAGATTCGGGCGCGCGTGCTCCCAGGCCAAGCCGTGACTGGCGTGCAGGGACAAGCTCTGCAGAGCCTGGTGGGCCTTGCGTTGACCCCCGCAGCCTCTCTGGCTGAAGTCTCTTCCCAGGTGAGTCAGTCCTATGTCCCGCTTGGAGCTTTCTTGCAGCGGGAAGATAAGTGAGAGCAGAAACAGCCTGTTCCTGGCATCCATGGCATCTGCATCTACTCTGGTCCTGGTGTTCTTGGACCTGTGTTTTCCCAGCATTTATCGTTACCCAAGAAGTGAGTCCTAGCCAGAAGCTGGCTAACACTGCCAGTGCTAGCTCCTTGGATGATATTTCAGTTATAACAAGCCGCTTCTGTAAGTCAGTCCTTAAAAGATGTTTTCTGGTGTTTACCGTCTACTTTCACTGACAGTACCATCAGATTTGTGCAGCGTCTGTTTTTCTTCACATTGTAAGACTGAACTTTCAACATAAAATTCTAGCCCTTTGCTTGCCTGAAAAATCTGCAGTTGATAAGTAATATAGAATTCTAAAATTGCACATGGAAAATTTAGCACTAAATACTCACTCAGCTGAATATTGCCATCTAATGAAGGGGCAGTAAAACCTAGTTCTGGTTTCCTTAAGTGAATTTATTTCTTTTTAAAGTAAATTGGAGCACAGCTTCTTGCCACTCAGGCATACATTGCAGATGGCTAGATAGTCATTTGGTAAGAACTTAGAACTGCACTGAAATTATTCTGATTAAACTATCATGCTTTTAAAGCCCCTTAGACGTGTGGTTGATTGTTTTTCGTGGATACATGCAATATTGTGCTTCACTTCAATTTCTCTTGCAAAGCTTCCGTATCGCCTTTGGTCCAGGGAAGAAGTTTTCTGCTCTGAAATTAGCATGTGTTCCCAACTTGAAGGAACCGAGGAAAACATATTTTCAAGCTGACTAAAAAGAAATGTTTTGGATCTTTGAACAGTTGCGCCTCTATTTATTTTGACTTGATATGTCAGCAAGTGCTCTGTGCTTTTCTTTTTTTTTTTTTAAATTATCATGTTTCTCGAAATTATTTCAGAGTACTCTAGAGATCTATGTTAATGGTTTCTCTAAAGTACTAATGTTGATGAAGATCACTCATTCAGCAAAATTTGGAATACTCTTAAAGTACCAAAGTATGGGAAGTGAAAGTAAGTTTGTTTTTATACTGTAGTTGAGAAAGTGCATAGCCATTCAATTAAGGATAACATAAAGGATTACAAATTGTTAAGTTTTCAGAGGGAGAATGTGATTCTCTGTTAGGACATAGAGACCTCCCAGGGAGGTAACACAGCTGATATATGAAGGGGGCATATGTATGGAGATCAAGAGTTCCTGGAATGAAGCTGGGCCTCTGCAGAAGAATAGCATACAAGGGCCTGAAAGAAAATCAGTGTGTGTAAAAGAGTGAGATAGGAAGGTGGTTTGATATTAAAGCTGACAGGCAGATTATAAAGAACTCCATATACCACAATTGGGACTTGAATTTCTTTGAGTGTCATTTTATTTTGTGTGTGTACTTGTTTATGTGGTTGCCTGTGTGTCACAGCATAAGTTGGGACAACTGGCAGGGTTAGCTGTCTTTCTACCTAGTGTGGGTTCAGGGGACCAAGCCAAATTGACAACTTCAGCCTTAGGTGCCTTTACCTGCAGAGCCATTTCAAATGCTTTACATTAGGGATTTTTTCCTCTATCATGACTTTATCATGATGACTCAGTCATCATGAGAAACCTTGAATTGTAGTAAGATTTGTTTACAGGTTGGATAGAACCCTGTATACTGAAGAAGCAATAAACTGGAAGAAATCTCAAGTAGGCATTGCAGTGATCCAGGTGAGGAGCTTGGGCTCAGATGCTGATGGTAGAGATTAAGTGCAGGAAGCCCGTCACCGTATTAGAAGTAAAGACTGTACGTAGCACTTAGCAATGCCTAAGATATGAGCAACCTCATTGATACCATGGTTTATCTTATTCAACAGTGTTTTGTGATGTACTCTGTGCTAGTGACTGGGAAAATAAAGCCAAACAAGATTCCTGTTGCAAGAAACCAAGATTATGTTTTAAATAATCATCTCATTGGGATTTAGGCAAAATAGTATTAACAACTTCTTTTAAGATTGCATTGATGACCTGTGATAAAACATGAAGTACAGCTAGTCGTGAGAAAGAACGTACTACAATAAAGATAAACCTGATGCCACAGAAAATGAATATTGGGGCTCAAGGTGAGCTTAAATCAGTTGAACACTATCACACGTAGAAAGCGGTTGGGCCAAGGTTTGATCTCCCTTCAGACTTCAAAACAAATACTTTTATGTATGCTATAGCTACTCAGTAATAAAAGATTCAGTAATAGAGTGGTTAATGCAATGGCCCACCATAAGGCCCTGCATGTGATAGCAATTTCTTATTAACTGAAGAAGTATGACCTTGGGTTTTGATGGTGTCCTCCACCACTTAAATTTTGTTCACCTCAGTCAATTATCTGCTCTGATAATTCTCTTCTTTCCTGTGTTCAGATGGCACCAAAGAGTGCATCTTGATAACCTAATATAAGTGCTTTATTAATGGTTGAGCAGTGATTAGAGTCCCTTGGCAACAGTACTCACTAAGCTCTATTCCACAAATAAATAGCCCTGCATTTAAAGCTATTATGGATAATGCTGTAATAGAAAGAAGAACTAATTATTGGAATAGAGCCTTGTGATTAGGATGAAGGATCTGCCTCTATTGACATTGGATTGAAAATCAATATGGAATTAATAATGTTGTGGCTTTCCGTAAAATTCTAAATACTCTCTTGTGGCTTCATTTTCTGGGCCTTTGATCTAAAAAAGCATAATAATAACCTTTGTAAATATCAGCAGTCTTTTGCATTTGAGAGGGATGTTGGATCTATACTAAATTTCATTAAAATATGGACCATTGTCACAAACTTCGGGCAAGATCATTATTGTAATAGATGATCCCCTGTTTCTTAGGCATATATGCCAAAGAGCTAAAGCTATTTAATGTTTCTACTGCTGGCTTGAAATGATTAGTTTTCTCAAAGCAGCATTTAAAAATAATTGCATACTGTATTCTTTACAGTGCAATAAATATGAAAAAAATAACAAAGGAGAGCTAAAGAAATATTAAGTGGCCATTTAAAATAAAAGATTTGAACTTCAGATAATCATTCCTAAAACCAAACATAAAATGTCTTACCTCAGGAGCTACTGCCAGAATGAACCACTTACTCTGTTTATCATACAGCATTTCTCTTTGTTCTAATTTCAAGTCCATAGAAAACCCACTTATTTCCCTCCCCCTGTGCTAACCGCTCCTTGTTTTGAAGAACACTCACTGTAGAAGATCTTGGCATCTTCCAGTCATCCACGTGCTGTATTACTTTTCTAAGTTGTGGCCCCACTGCCTTGTCAGCTTAAAATCAAGCAACCGTGTAAGCACATTGCATCAAGCTCTGCTGGAGCTGGTGGGACCTTATGGTAAGAAACAATATCAGAATGTAAATGAGCATGTTCGGCTAATGAGCTTTGAAGAGTCAGTCCTCCAATTTTAAGTTTTGGGTTGATATAGTATTTTAGTGAAATCAGTGTGTAATCTGCATGTGTTTTTAGTTAATCTCCTTTCAGAAGAATGAAACTGTCTATTCATAAACATTCATCGCTTTGAAACATGCATTGGTTATTCTGAGGATCCCTTAAGATTTCATACATCTATTTAATATATTACCAACATTTAATTTATCTGTATGATACTTTAGAGCATCATGAACAGTCTAGTTATTTAAATAGTAGTTGGCTGGATGGAGAAAAGCCAAGCTTTGAATAATGTAAAATGGCTAAGTATTTTTTTTAAGAGTCTGTCTGGAGTCTCTTATTATGACTATGTGAACCTTTACTTGTATGTGTCATTTGGAGGCATGTATTGCTACATCATAGTACAGAAACTCCATAGTAAAAGTCTCCCCGTGTTCAAAGTAGGAAAAAACAAAACAAAACAAAACAAAAAATCAAAAAAACCATTGATGTTTTTCTTGCCTTTTATTTGAAAGGACAAGCTAATCAAGTATCCAAAAGGGTTTCCTATATATTTTGTAGGACATACATCATATACTTCTTGTCTTTTAAGTGGATACTGATAATGACTTTTCCAGAGACTGGAGGTCATTATTATTAGCACCCACTATTACATGGACTCAGGAAAGGAAGAAGAATGAAGTAGATTCTATTTATTCTACAGATGAGGGTGGTGAGTTGTCTGTGGCTGTTGTAGCTTTGATCCAACATCGAACAGATGCTGTAAAGAACATCCGGTCATCTTTACTTTTGTTACATCCTCATGTGGAGATGCTTGTCCTCATATCTTACTTCATTTGATCAAGGGTAAGTTAGAGGACCTAAAAGCTCTTAGTGTAGTAGTTAGCAAAATAAACATTTTTGTGATTGCTCCTCTTTTTCCTGGAGCACAGCTTCCTCAGCAGACCCACTTACATTAGAATATGTCAGAATGCCCTCTTGTTTTATGAGGAGTGTATAAGCCCTTGATATCATCAGGTGAGGTACAGCTTATTTAGCCTTCGCAAAAGTTCTCAAGGGTGTAGAACACATTTTCATGTATGGTCCTAAAGACATTATTTTGGATCTTGGAAATCATTTTGAAATTAGGGTTTTTGAGGGGTTAGATTGATAGATAAGTGACCTATAATTTTAAAAAGTATATTACTGAGATTATGAGAGTGAATAGGACATTCTCTGTGGCAACAATATACAACTGAATGAGAGTCAAAACATTTGTCTAGGAAAGTCCTGTTTTTCTCTGAAAAGTTCATCTTCCTGGTTCACCCACGGGTAGGCAAGATAAATGGTAATCAGCACAATAAATCATGGGCTGTCTCTGGAAATATATGTTGTTTTGAAGATTTCATATTATTAAGCCACTTGAAAATGGGAAGGTGAACCCTACTCAATCATACTTAAAATTGTGGCAAAGGAGATTTTCATCTCTATTTCAGACAAAGAAAGAAAAGGTCCAAATGTTCAAATAACACAGTAACAAGATTATAAGGGTCAACATGAGAAAGTCAAATAC